TCTTATTTATTGGGTAACAGACATAGATATTATTGAGCATATAGACCAGTCAGGCCTGCTGAAGGCTTGAGGCAAAGGCAAGTTTCTCCTCAAGTTGGTCTCCTTGGTGAGCTATGGCCCCTTAGCATAATACATACGGTACATCCCACAGTAACTGGGCTCCACTTTTAGCTCTGGAAGCTACGGCTAGCTTGCTGGAGCTGCAGATGAGCCAACACAAAGCCAGTGATATTGCTGGCTCCAAAGCAGCCCAGGTAACACAAACAACACTGCATCACCCTCACACAACTGGGGCTTTAACAAGTACAGAGAATTCTGCTGAGAAAAAGTCAAATCCAGCGGGAGGATCCTGGCACGTCTGCTTTTCACCTAAATAATCGATGGTAATGTGCTCAGACCCAGTGACGTCCAGCACGCCGGGCATGAGCAGTGTGCACTGGGGTCGATACTCCCCTTTAATTATCAATACTCCCCTTTAATTATCTCCCGTCGGTCAACTGCAACTCTCCGCATCTTGATTTATGCAGCTGTACATGACAACTAGCAGAGAGACCAATGGTGTTTCCAAGAGTTAATGTTACCCTATGACACTTTGTTTATTTTACAAATAAATAAAACTCTAAACAATGTGGTACTTTTAGCTTGAACTTTCCTAAAACTGTTTATTTTATGTGTGTAATCATTATAGCTGGAAAACATTCGGCATCATTCAGAGCTCATCCAGCAACTGTAATTAAATTGATGCTGGATGTCTGTACACTAGTGAGTGTGCATATTTTTATTATAGTTTTTTTTCAGTAATTACTGGTTCAGTCCCATAATTCCCAATCTAATGCCCTCACTGGAACATTCTCTGGAGCAAGCATTCCACCATCATTAATGTTACCATACATTTATTATTCTGACAAACGAGTATATCAAACGAACAGGGGATGTTGATACAAACACATAAGCTGGAAAGGTTTTGACAGTGTCCTGCATAAAAATCCCAGGAGGACAGCTGTTTCTGAGGTGATGGAACCAGCAGGTCTGGCACCAGCAATCATAACACATATGGCATATGATCTCTTATATCAGGCATCATAGCAGTAAGTTGACCTGCTGTGTGTATTTAGTTGCAGCCACATGAATCACTGTTTGCTGGAGCAGGCTGTTTGCGGTAACGTGGAGGGCTATCTAATAAATTGCCCCCAGAGTTTAAGACAAACACCTAAAAAATATTTCAAAACAAATATTTGACAATAGTCCCAGAGCGTGGTAAATCTATTCAGCTATTGAATTATAATTTAATAAACTTGTTTTGATCATGTATCGATACATATTTTTGCTTTCAGATGTAATCTTCGAATCTACTGTGCAGAAAAAGTTAGCAAGAGGTACAATATGACCCCATGTAAAGTCATTTCAAATCCACCACGATCGTAATTATGTACTCCACACTACAGCACACAAGCAGAGAGGATCGCTAACTGGATCAAATTAAATTTCAGCATGTGCATATTGATGAATTATTTTCTAACAAGACTGCCTCCCTTCACCCCCACAAGGGGCTTCAGATCAGCATAAACTACAGGGGGCGCCAGTCGTAACTTAGGGCAGACAGGAAGTGAGCAGAGATGCTGGTCTAGGTAAGCACTGCATTAGCTGCAAACGAGGAACATGGAACTGAGGGCACTGAGAAACTGAGGGCACCCGCCCCCCCTGGCTTTTCCCCAGGGCTTTCATAGGAACACAAAGCTTAGCTGGTCAATAATAATCTACACACTCAAAACAAAAACCACCAGGGAGACATTAGGATGTAGCCACATCTACTGATCATTCTGAGGCTTTAATTGATTTGAAATGTTGTCTTGCGTCTTAAAATATCATATGAATATGAATTAGCAATACATCATGCAGCATGTAATACTGGTAGGCTTGTCTACATAAATTAGCTTTAATTTATATATCTATATATACTTAACAGCTATGTTAAGAAAGAACGGAATTTAAGGGAATACTGCAACAGCCATACAGATGTTCTGGGCAATCCTCAGTAATAAATTTAAATGTTCAACAGTGATTTATACTGTTTATAACCAACCAGGAAGATTGGTACCCCATTATTAAAAAAGCAGATTAATAATTGATCCTGGGGAGTGTATTCACCCTGCCCTTCTCTCTGTTGTGGCTGTAATGTTATTTAGGTCTATGTGTCAGCATGACAACACATGTAAAGAAAACGGTCTTTCAGTACAAAGGCTGCCCTCTGTTACACTTAAAGAGCCACTTGGATTAGCCAACTGAAATGCTTGGTTATAAATGAAACAGCCTTAAGTTCCACCTAATATCTCCTTTTCCTAATTAACAACAACAACAGCAACAACAATAATAAAGAGAAAAATAAAGAGCATGTGGAAATGGGTCGCAATAATTCAAAGAACAGCCAATGTTTTTGTCTTGCATAAGTACATAATCAGTCATTTCCTTGTAACTAAGACTTAGTTTGTGGTTAATTAATACATTAACTGTTGGTATATTAACTGTTGGTTCATGAATAATTATGAGCATAATGGTATATTATTTGTGCCCTCTCAAGTAAAGTGTTACCAATTTGACTGACACCAAAAGGTTTTAAATCAAGCAAACGGGCATCTAAGTCATTTAAAATACTGTTTTACCGTTGGACCATAATTCAGGTTTTACATGACTTGACGTATCTTTCATTAACCTTCATTAACCCTAATCAATTTCCTGCTCTTCTAAATTAAAACTGTGTGTGGAATTACAGCGGTGAGTTTCCTTTGCTCTGAGGTTTCAGTGTCTGTGACTCACCTGGGATGTTTCCACGTCGCCTACATAAGTGGAGGTGACTGATGGTCTGGGTCCTGGGACAGTGAACACTTGGTTTGGGATGTGATTCGGGTTGTGGGAAAGTGAGAGGAAGCTGTGAAAGTGAAGATCAAGATTAATCTGAGCCTGCTTGACTCTCCAGCTTCAGGGCTCGATCTAGAATCTGAAGGTCAGGGACAAGTGGAGTATCATATATTAACAGTATTTTTTTTTTTCCATTTTAATTTATTCCCTGTGTTTCCCCACACTATGCCTCCATAGGAGAGCTTTATAGTATTATTAACGTCAGGGAGAAGATGACAGAAAATGTATCAAACCTGTCCAGCATTTTAATACTAGCAGAAGATGGGTCATAAACAATGAGATGGTGAACACAGGAGAACTCACCAATAAAACTGAACATTGTCAAATTTATGGAAGATGACACAAGGGCTACAAGGTGATTTTTTTTACCCTTGAGATGTGCGCTAGGATATTGAAATATTCCCCATATTATCCTGTACACCAGACACACAGGTACGGCACCTACACATCGGAGATGATGGGTATGCAGGTCTGGAACAAATTTACATCCTGAAGTTTCTCTTCCTTTGGTGACTGGCTTCCATTTTTTTGATGTTTCGACAGCAAAATCAATATCTGCATGATCCTGTTAATTGTACTTGGCAGAAATGAACTGCTCAGAGGTCTAAAGGTTTGTGAGCCAAAGAGCTCCAGTAAAAAATCTACATTCTGAGCTTGAGATTGAGGGTATCGTGATTAGATCTTATCTCCTTTTTCACCCTTGTGGTACAAAGGGTATTGTCATAATGCATTATTCTTTGCTAACGGCCTTCTTATGAAGCTCTACAGGAACCATAAACCTGGATGCTGGAGAATGAGGTGGGAACAACGCTGTTCATCTCTAGAACTTATAATTGTTTCCCTGCGTGAGCTGTTGGCTGGGGTGGGTGAATCTCATTAAAATGGATAACTATTCCACCATTTCAATTATGCTACAGTACGTTATTCGCAGTCCATGACAGAAGGCGGAGTTTATGGGGTGCCACTGTGGAGCTTGTTTTTCTGTCAAGGAGTCATGGAACGTGACTGAAAAAGTGTGACGTTTAGCTGTGTGACACATACACTTGATGAAAGATGCTCTTCTGACTCTTGGTACTGCTAATGAGCTGGTCTACATCTAATATCTTCTCGGCATCGTACTAAGATGGATTGACAAGCTTTTACCAGGAGAGAAGGACAGCTAAGGCACCGCAGGGCTTGGGATCAGACGCTGATACTCCTCAGGTGGGTCTGTAATCTGCGCCGCATCAAACCTCCTACTTTCCAAGGCGCCTTTCATTGGTCTGCCACAAGCCCCAGGAGCGTGAAGGAAAGCCGATTGTGTTTTAATAAAGTTTATTATCGGGGGGAGGCTAATCCTGGCGGTAATCTGCCGCAGCTCTAAGGAAAGCTGGATTACTCGCTCACCGTAATCCGCATGAAAACGTCAGGATTTAGCTGCTGCAGCAGAGCAGATGGCAACAGGCCTGCTCTTCAACCACTTACACCCACTCTTCCTAAAACCCACAGCAAGGAACATATTTAAATTAAGAGCCACATAATAATAAATGATGAAAATGCTAAGTTTTGTTTCCTTTAAAACATCTTAAAATGGGTAGGTTGTGTAAGAAACACATAACATCTCCCATGCTCTTAAAGGATGAACCAAGTGGGCAACCATCGAAGATCTACTCGCTCAAAATGGTCAAAAGAGAGTCGTATCCTCCTGAGACCCCACCCATTCATTTATGTCCATTGCAGTGGACATTTTGTTTTTGCATCTATCTTTTCACTGATGTAAGGAAACATATTTATTCCTGTTGTACACTAAAGAGGACATGCTGTGAAATTAAAAATAAATTTGAAAAAAGATGTCTTATTTCCTCCAAAGACATAGAAAATCACAATTAACCTAAAACTGAAGGACACTTTTTTTCCTTGGGTCTCAGGAGGATATGGTCAGCCGGCGGCTGTGTCACTCTCTACTGGACCAAAGATTATACTGGGTACCTGAATGGATCCTCTCAGGGAAACCCAGGTACTTTTCATTAAACTGGAAACATCTTCAAGGACTTTAACCAGTTAAATTCCGGTCAAAACCATGTTATACATGCCAAACAAGTCAGTTTCTTAGCAAAAATAATTTTATTGGGTTATTTCATACATCTAGAATCTGAAGTTCAGGGACAAGTGGGGACACAAGTGGAGTATCATATATTAACAGTATTTTAATTTATTCCTTCTTATCAAAAATTTGCATGAAACTGGAAAGTTAGATGTGAGAACAGGTCAACTCTATTCTCCCATGTTTTTACCCAGGCTTACAGGCCACTGTGTAACAACACTCTGATTTTACCATCATCATCGTGCAAAGCTTTGGGCAACACACCAGGGCCTATGTCAACAAAGAAATTAAATGTCGGTATTTAACATGATGACTGGAATTATGGATATATTTTTGATCCTTGCAGAGGAAATCAAAGGGCTGAGAGTCCAAACAGGGCAGACAATCAAACCGTTACCACACACACACAAATGTCAATGTCTGCAGCCGAATTTTACTGCACAGGTATGAGTATGTTGAGAATTCATTTTTCACCAGTTAAACATTTTGCACACACAGTTAATTCACATATTAAAATAAAAATAAATTAAAATTACAATCACAGTTAAGAATGGGAATTCCTTTTTCTAAAGTTTGTTAGGTCACACGTGGTAAAAGGGAAACACCTCTCAGCTGGACAGACAACAGGAAGAAAGCTCTGCGCACCTCCCCCAACCGCCCTGCGGATGAGCACGGAGGAAATAGGTCCTCAGGAGAAGCGGCTGGTGGCGCGGCAGCGGAGGCTCAGGGCAGCGGAGGCTCAGGGCAGCGGAGGCTCAGGGCAGCGGAGGCTCAGGGCAGCGGAGGCTCAGGGCAGCGCCAGCTTGGCGCGGTATAGACGCCCGCGCCCCTTGGAGCAGCGGTACATGGCCAGCAGACACAGGGAGGACAGGACGTAGAGCAGGGCGCACAGGCTGACGTCCAGGCGGGAGAAGCCGAGGGCCAGGACCGAGATCCAGGGGCGACGTGCCCCCTGCCTGCCTTCACCCTCCAGCTCCGCATACCTCCCCGTCAGACCCCGCTTCTGGAGACGCCTCTGTTCCCCGGGGAGGTCGTCAGGCTCCACGGGCAGCAAGGCCACCTCGGGTGCCGGTCGGTGGCCCCGCAGCGCCCTCTTCCTGCGGCTAGACCGAAGGTCCTTCGCCTGATAGAGGCGGCTGACGAAGGAGTCCAGGTCCACAATGTCCTCCTGCGGCTCCCGGGGCCTCAGGCCCACAATGCTGGGCCGGCGCTCCCACTCCTTCTCCTGGGATGGAGGAAGCTCCAAGGCAGCGGCCTCCTCTCCCTCTCTGCCTCCAGGCTCCTGCTCCCCTACCACCAGCACCTCCTTATCCTCCTCCACCTCTGAAGTGGGCTCATCCCCTTCCTTTGCCTCCATCCTTCCCCGGGTGTCATGCCCTGCCTGCGCCGCCCGGTCCTCTGTCCCCTGGGCCCGGCCTGCCTCCTGGGGACGCACGTCCTGCAGGTAGTTGTCCAGGATCTTGCTGTAAGAGTAGTAGTCCATGAGGAAGGACAGCACCTCAGGCTCCTGCCAGCTGTGCTCCCCGTTGTCTATGCCGTGACATTTGGGACACAACTCTGGGGGGGGCCACTGAATCTTGGGGAAGTTGGGGTCTTCACTTAGATCACCTGAGGAGAAAAAAAATTAGCCAAACCAGGAGCAAAATGATAGACAGGACAGACTGGAGTAGATCTCTGAACAACAGGCAGATAAAAGCCGAACACCTGCAGCACAGCTGCATGTGTTTACAGTTACATGATGGTCTTCCTGTCCTTGTTAATATCTGATTATCTAGTTAAGGTGACAGCAAGCTAGAGCTAAACCCAAGACAAACTCGGACCAGGACAGCAGTCACACTCAGGACACTCGAATGTGCAAAGGTGACTCGCGACCATCCTGTCATCTGACCGGCACGTGAGAGGAAACTGGGGCAGCAAAAAGCGACAGAGAGGAGAGCTGGGAATTTTTAAAAAGCACCTTCCGATTGTCCTCCCACAAAACATCCGCAGCTGGATATCCATAAAGCCTCTCAGGGGGGCAGACGGGGGGTGGGGGGGCCTGCCCTGTGGGGAACAGGTTGGTGGGATGTCCAGTGGGGAGGGACTGAGAGATAAAAGATGTGGCGAGGTGGCCCAGGGCCCCCGCCCCCGGGCCTCATCTCGCCACCGCTGTCGAGAGAGCCCCACCCCCATCTCCAAATTGAATATGAAAGCAGGGACCTCCAAGGGAGCTGCTTTTAATGAATTAGAATTTTTGCCTGCCTCCCCCCTCCCCCAAATGGAGGCATCTGTTAATAAATTGCTTGTCGCCGCTGATGCAGTGGGTGGGGGAGGGGGGATGGAGTCAAAGCTGCAGCAATTCTGTCACTTTACCATGCTGTCAATTTACATCCCCCCCCCCCATCTCACCAGCAGCTTAATCTCAGGCTCACGCGTCCGTCTGCTCCTATGCCGCATACATCACTTCCCATAGCAGATACATCACTTTTATTGGCCCCCGCTGCTCCCCGCGTTCCCCGGCTTGCCGTCCGTACCCCGGCTTGGCGTCTCCCTTGCATTTCCACACCCCAGCTAAAATCCAGCTAATTTCACAAAAAGCTCCAAGCACAGGACTCTGCCCCCGAGGACATGTGTCGCTCTTTTAGCTCGCGACACTGCCCCTTGTGGCAGCACCCCCACGCAGCTGCAGCGTCTAGTCTAGCTCGCTCACCCCAGCCGGCCTGCGCAGACACACGCTAATGGCCTCTTTAGTGGTGACAAGTGGCAGTCACATCCTCCTTTGTGCCACGACGGAGGGCCTCCTGTCTGGGGTCTCAGGACATAGCGCACCGACCTCCCTGTGCTGGAGGGGGGTGTTGCAGCTCCTGCTGCCCTGTTGCTGTTGGGGGGAGGGGGGGGAGATGCGCTTTCACAGGCTCTTTGTACTGGGTAAATGAATTGTCCGGCTCCTTTACAAATAGCTCACTTCATGCGTCGTTGCCCCTCAAAGGAGGGGGGTGGAGGTGGATTTGCTAAAGAGACACAGTTTAAGAAGGGGGGCTGTTCCCTAGGGGGGGTACAAATGAGAAGCAGCAGCAGCAGAGGGAGGGAGGGAGGGTGGGAGGGATATTGGTACTCATTGCCAAAACCCGACATCACCCCCCTCCCCAACCACAAAACACCACCACACATCACCCTGCCATGTTAACCTCTGCCGGGGGGAGTTTACAATGTCCATGTGGGCGGGAACGAGGCCCGGTGACTCAGCGCGTGCCACCTGCCGTCACAGGCATCCTGGGAATTCAGCCCTCGCCCCACGCCACTCCGCTCCCGTCTGTGTCAATTGTCGAGTGAGAAAATGGCCGCCTTGGGAGGGGGAGACAGAGCAGGCCTAATAGATCGGAGTGTCAGGGGACCGGGGACAATAAAGCGGCTCGCCGACGACCCCTAGGCCTCACTTATTCATGATTACGACCCTCCAGCAGATTGGTTCTAGGCACGGCCCCGCCGCCTATCACGGCAGTCAAAGAAACCAATCAAGCCATTAGACAAAGTAGTGTGATGATGACTGAGCAGTAAACACCTCCAGAGGACAGCCAGCCGAAAGCATCGCGACACCGGGATCCCTCAGTGGCGAAGGGGCTCTCCCGGTCTGCTAACGACACACAGAACCTCATGGACCAAGCGAGGCTCACAGCCAGGGGGCGCTGATGGTAAAGGCCAAAAAGCAGAAGCCCGGAGCTGCGGAACCCGGAGCCCGCTGCCGCTGGAGAAGGCCCCGGGGCCCCGACGCGCGGACCAGCGGCAGCCCTCCTGCTGAAGTGTCCCGCGAGCTGCAGATGGGCTAGCAGGAGAGTCTCAGCCTAATCCCGGGGTAGAGGAGATGGGACGAGGGGCAGCTGGTGTCTGGCCAGGGGATCGACAAACTTAAAGGGATTTAAGGGGTGAGGCGCAAGCCAGGCTGTTCAGAAGCGGGAGGGGAAAAAAAATAAATAACAAGCACAGGTTCCATTTGCTGCCGTACGTATCCTGGACTTAAATGCCATTTCGGGGGACATTACGCAAGAAACGAACGATGCTAAGTAGGCAACTAAGTAAATAAATAAGCAGGAAACATATAATGATTCCTACAACTCATAGCTGCTTTCATGGCAGCACTCAGACAGTAAAATATAGCGACCTGATGTCGGAATGAAATATCTGCATTGCCACGGCAGAGAAAAGCCAGCAGTGACCTGCGCTCCCTTGCTTATAGTGGACGAGCAGACTCAAGGAACTTCAACGCGAAAGGAAACATCGATAGCGAGTTCTCGTTAATTGTTGCTACGTGGTGGTTTGTTTGAGAAAAGATCCACAATTAAGTTTCAGTCACATGACTTGCCTAGTCCGAACGGGAGTCCAGTAAAACACCCCCCCTCACCGCCCCCCCCCCCAACACACTAGCTCCACCATCCCCTCAAGGTGAATTATGAACATTTTTTCATCTGTGGCTTCAGCAACAGCAGTGAAACAACACTATCACAGCTGTGTGGCAAAGCGCACACCTTGCTATACTCCGGTAAATCTCTAGCTAGCAACACAAAACTTTTTCCTTCACGCTCACATATTAACGTGGGCCAGACACCTTCCAGAAAGAAAGCCGGGCTCAAATGGGTGGGAACCGCACCGCACTCACCTGCCAGCCGGTTGTTGACGCGGTTGTGCCGGGACCAGAGCCAGAGCACGGCCTCCGACTGCGTCTTCACCTGGTTCATGCTCTCCTGGGCCATGCCCTCGAAGTGGCTGGCACACTCGTGGCAGCCAAAGAACTTTTTGACGTAGATCCTCATCGCCTGCAGTACCTCCTGAGGCCCTGCGCGAGGGGGGGGGCGCCAAACACACCATCAGCTGACAGAGAACAACAGTTATTTACACAAACTCATTACCTGTATAGTTATCTACAGGGAGGTGGAAAAGACCATACGCTTACATCAAACCCAACCACACTAAATGTTTGCAAAAAACAAAGTGCCCTGAGTGAAACAAGAATCTGGGAGCCTAGATATAGAATCACATGGCAGGACGCGAGTCTACCGGAGGAGATCAATATTAGGGAAACTTTCCCTGTGGGAAAATTCATGAGTTTGACCTCAGGCTTTCCTGGGGCTCAAGTTGACCCCACAAATTAACCAAATGCCACAGGAGTTTGAGAACCTTCTATAGCCCCGGATGTGAGGCTTTGTTCTTCAGGCCTCCCCCCCACCCCCATCTGTGTAGCTAGCAGTAATCCAGCAGTCTGTTAGGGGCAGATGGACATCCCCCCCCCCCATAAGCCCCAGAATAAACCCTGGAGAAAGAGGTGCACTGGAGAGCCACCCCTTTCATTAACCACTCAAATTCCACTAATCTCACTAAAATCCCAACACAACAGAACTCTTCCGGCACGTGAAGGACAGTAAATCAGGAAAAGAAACAAACCAACACCGTCTAAACCTGAGAGAATTAACAACAAGCACAGGGAGTGCAGGCGAGACTGGAAGCTACTGAGAACTTTACAGGTTAAATGACTAGCTACAAACCTTAAAACCCAACAGGCATCTCTTGGCCACTGGGATAGGGGGTCTGTTCAGATTATAGTGATCTTCAGGAAAACACCCAAGTACTCTGTCAGAGCCCAGTGATTGGGTAGGCAGTGATCTGGTAGGCACAAACAGGGTGGGCAGTGATCTGCTGGGCACTAAAAGGGCACGCAGTGATCAGGCGGGCACTAACAGGGCAGGCACTGATCTGGTGGGCAGTGATCAGTTAGGCAGTAAGAGGGCAGGCAGTGACTGGGTGGGCAGTAAGAGGGCGGGCAGTGACAGGGTGGGCAGTAAGAGGGCGGGCAGTGACTGGGCGGGCAGTGACTGGGCGGGCAGTAAGAGGGCGGGCAGTGACTGGGTGGACAGTGATCAGTTAGGCAGTAAGAGGGCGGGCAGTGACTGGGTGGGCAGTAAGAGGACGGGCAGTGATTGGGTAAAGCAAACTGGCTCGATAACAGTGAACTGAACACTGGACATGCACAAGGATGCCGGGACAGGATGCAAATATGCTCACTGGAGTCAGAGGCGCTGTTGGCTGCCACAGTCAGCGCGTGGAAGAGAGTCCACATGGAGCAGGGGTACTTCCTGAAGTGCGGCTGGGATCCCTGGCAGCCTACCCACCTCTCGCCGTGGGGCAGGACCGCATCCTGAATGGAAGCACAGGGATAAGAAGGGGGTGCTAGGGGGGGGGGGGGTCACTGAGCACTGGCTAGGAGCTAACAGGGACGCTAAGGGAGCGGCCCGGCTTGCTGGTGTGTCTGGGCAGGTGCCCATCCCTCAAAGGCGACGACCATGTGCAGCGGGGGCAGCCCGCCTCCCTCACCTTAAACAGGAACTCAACCATAACTATATTCTACAGGTTATTTGAAAAAAATATTGCTGTTTTTAAAGCTTCCAAACCACCAGGGGGCGGTGTGGAGCACAGAGGGTTAGAGATTGATGCTCGTATCCTGAAGGATGTGGTTCAAATCCATGGCTCTCAGAGTAATTATATCACTGTTGAGCCCTTGAGCAACTGATAATTACTCAACTGCTCCATGGACCTGCTCACTGGTGCATTGCAAAAGTGGACAATAGTAAGCTGTTAAATAAGCAGTCTGTTTGTCATCTCTTCTTCCTATGTTTTTTGTTTCTGATTTGGGCAACCCCTCCCCACCCCCTCCACCAAGGAGCACAGTGCTGGGCTGGTGCCAGTCACCAGCGCCCGCTCCTTGTGGCAGGGCGCCTCTCACCTCTGTCGCATTGTTCAGCACCTCCAGGAAAGAGTTGTACTGCAGTTCCGAGTCCTGAAGTCCATTCAGCCATGCGTTGGCGGTTTGCAGCAGATTCCTCACCACCGGTCGGCCTGGGAAGTACTGTGACAGGGAGGCGGAACATGGTACTGATGTGTGGGGGGAGGGGCGGCAGGGCCCGGGGGCACCCAAAACACACACAGCACTATTTATGGACAATGTGACCTCAAAGAATTTTACTAGGAGTGACGGGACCCAACATCCCGGCATCCAGGCTGCCTCTACAGCCAGCTCTGGGAAGCAAACGCGACAGGCCGTACTGGGGGCTCACAGGCCGCACTGGGGGCTCACAGCCCAGCGGCTCCACACAGCTGAGAACATGGTCTGCCATGATTTAAGACATTAGAGTGTGAACACCATCAGCTGTAAAGTACAAATGTGGTACGCTCACCCCCCGCAGCTGAATGTCCATGTTGCTCAGCAGAAGGGCTGTAGGCTCCATATCCATTATTCACTCAGCCCCCCCCCCCCCAATCCTGTCAGCATACTCAGTCTTAGTAAACAGGGAAATCTATACTATATCCAGTGTTTCCCAATCTAGTGTTCGGGGACCCGCAGACAGTCTGGCAGGGGCCTCAGAAGGAGCAAACTCATGGACCGACTGTAGTTCCCCGAGGACCGGGTAGGGAAACACTGCGATATGCTGTATATATACACGCCTTTTTTAGGATGGAATGCCTTATCTTATTCAACTATTCTGTTAACATAAAATCTGGGTAGTTTCTCCTCTAGAGACATAGATTCTTAAGTTTCAAGTGACTCACTTTCAGCAACAGTTTAAAAGCCAAGTGAGCATCCAAACGTTACCTCATGGGGCTGATTAGCAGTAACACACATGTATTTACTCAAGCGCCAGTCAGTTAAGAGGCATTTTAAACTGACCCGATGACTCATTCCTCACAGATCAGCCTGTCTGGCAAATTTAAGCACCCATGTTTACAGCGGGGTACTCAGTGAGAATGGGTCCCCGGCAGCTTAACACACAAGAGTCAGCTAATGCTAACGGGTGGGTGGTTGTGATGATATCTGAATCCAACATTTATCCGAGTTCCATTGGCACTGACGTCTCAGATAAGAAAGATGGGCCGGGACCTCCCAGAGCAGCGGTGCAGAAACAAGCCTGGATAGAGGCCAGAGACGCCTCCCCTCTCCCCGGAGCTCCGGGGCCCCAGCCGGGACCCAGCCGGGACCCCAGCGGGCCGCCTTTCCGCTGATTTGTGTGCAGCGTTTTCAATTTGCTCTCACCATCTGTTCAGCGGCGCTGAGTCCAGAGTCTCTCCCATTCATCACAGTCTAACGGGATGGGCGATAAAGGCGGCCGGCTAAAGAGACCCTCAGTATGAGGCTAACCCCTTCACCTTGCTCTCACCTGCCCCCTGGCCTACAATTAACAGGCACCGCAAGCCCCCCATAAAAAGGCTAAACAAAAATGCCCAAGACGCCTGGCCGCTGCAGACAGACGGCAAACACACTCGGACCAAATTGCGGGGATCAGTCATTGTCACGGTGAGGAAAGCTCGTTAGAAAATGTTTCGATCAAACTAAACCAGAAGCACCGGACACTTACGCTGATGCGCAGCCTGGCTTCCCGGTTACCGAAGCGCCCGGCCTTGTTTTCCCAGAAAAATGCTCCTCAGGACAACAGTAATGATTCAGAAGGAGGTTAAAGTTGAGGCAGGAAAATGAAACCAGAAGCCTTTGAGACCGACAGGTTTCAAGCTGACACACATGCATGCATGTATATGTACACACACACACACACACACAAATATTTGTATTCTTATCATTATGAGGACCGTCTATTCATTTTTATGGTAAAAACCCTAATCCCAGCAAAACCCCATGGCATTTTCAGTTTTTTATTGCAGTAACAGATTTTTAAAAATTGAGTTGACTTTTGGTTCCCCCAATGTAACATATACATAGTATGCACACACACACACACACACACACAGTAAAGATGTTATTCTGTGGTTTTGGCATCAAGTGCGACCCGTTTGCCATACTGACGGAATCTCACAGCTCGCCCCGGTGCCCTCGGGCCCCTCCCCCTCTCTGGGGCCACTGCAGCCCACTTCCTCAGGACAATATGTCATCCTCAATCCGATTAGCATCAGCGTTTGGGAAACTGCAGCCCCCCCGGGGAGGGACAGAGTGTGTCTGTGGGGCCAGAGCAGGGGGGCCCCGTGTAATCAGGCCCCGCAGGGCCCCAGGGAGCCATGCGTGTGTCAGAACCGGACGACGCCAAACGACTCCCCCGCCCCCAAACCTACACCTGCCTGTGGCTCCCTCACACATACTTGTGAGGGGCTTTTGTGTGCTGGAAATTTCCTGCCAAAGAGGGACAGCGGCCAGGTCCCTAGACCGGCATTGCTGCTCCGTGTATGTGTGTGTGTGGAGGGGAGACTCGTAATTCACCAAGATGGCACCAAGATGTCTCCTCTTAAGCCTGAAGTTTACAGAGCCAGCCTCTGTCGGGAGACGTGGCGCACTGGGCAGCAACACAGCACTGAGAAAAGCACTTCAAATGCATCTCTCACAGTTCTCTATTTCCTCCTGGGGGGCTCTAATCGCATGCATTTTGTGGAGCCCCCCCCAGCAGGATTAAATGTTGGTCCTTTGTTTAGGGAGCATTTAGTATCCTCAGCATATGCTGATAAAACCGAGCAAAGCAGAAGCTTACAGTCCCCCCCCCACAACCCAACTCTTAATGGGGGGGGGGAGGTTAAATTCCTCAGGTCAAGGATATCAGCCAAACAAACTGGGGTTAATTTCCCCCCTGCCCATCCATCCCCACCCAGTCCTACACACCATCACTGATTAATGGTGGGGGAGTTCCTGGCAGGTCACTGTCTGCAGCCTGGGGAGGCACACGCTTGGCACGTGCCTCTGGGGGAGTAACATGAGGCCCCCTGGGGGCTGAACCAGCCGCCACCAGGTGCCCAATCAGCCGGCTTCACAAAGGCTCTGCCCCCGTGGCCGTCGCGGCATTCAGCACCAGTGGCAGGCTGTTGATAATACGGCATGTGAGGAAGCTTGGGTTTGCTGTTAAAGAATGAGCAGTGTGTATCCAACGAGGTGCTGTGTGTGAATGTGAATGTGCGTGTGTGTCATTTGTAAAATGCACATATACATACATATATGAAACTACAACATTTTGGCAATGCTAGTCAATAATTTAAAATGCTGATATTGTTAAAAACACTGTATAAAACTCATTAAACTGTCATACCACCAAAACAAACATTTATACAACAACTTTGTATAACTGTTATGGAAAAGACAAGTAGCGACGTCAGGTTTGTCTCCCCCTGGTGGAGAAGCTTCATAACTGCAGCATGCCAACCAAAGAATGACCAAATGCAGACTACCAAACGAGCTGGAACACTAACTGAACGACTCACCTTGGCCAGCACTGAGACGTAGCGTTTGAGCGCGGTCAGGGCCCCTTTGTTTATCGTGGCATGTGACGCTAACTCCACACGCAGCGAGAAGTGCAGTGCGGACTCCAGGTCGGACATGTACACGTTTGTTCTGGGAACACACAGGAGGTCCGGGAATTTTAGGGGAAATCACAAATGCAGCACATCTGACCTCCACTGCCCACCTTGATAAACAGCTATGCTCAGCTTGACACAAAATATTAATCCAGTTATCTTTCAGCACAAACCGACATAGCATTTCATGATGTACTTCACCACACAAATATATGGAAGAAAAACAGAAAGCAGCATGCTAATTAACACAGCTAAATGCAGAGACTCCATTGCAAGTTTTAAACAACATTATCTCTGAATTATGCAGGACAGGCAGTCCGCAGGTTATGAACAACATCCGCCCCCTAAATCTGTCCTTAAGTCAAATTTATAGGCAAGTCAGAAAAATAATAATACATGCAATACAAAAATAATACATAACACGGTAATTAAAGTAACTACATATGTTACTGTACTGCACCTCAAGCTGTCGAACTCCTGAAATCTCACAGCGTTTGCATGAGTGTCACAAAATAGTGCATGCGTTCGTTAGGGCAAGCTATTGTACTTAACCCAATTGTTTTTATATAACAGGCTTTATAGAAAGTCCCATCGTAAGTAGGAGTCGTCCATAAGATGGACGTTCTTAACCTGGCGCCTGCCTGTAATCCAGCCCCTTATTGGTTTCTTATGAACAAAACCTCAGAACTCGGTGTGATAATGACAGCGCCAAGCCGCCCGTCAGGCTCCTCACCTGTTAAACTCCCTCCATGGATGTTCGGTTACGTTGCGAATCAAATCGAGGGCCACAGGCTTCGGCCTACTTGTCCGCACTACCCTTGGCAGCCTTTGGAGGGCGTATGAGTAGAAGGTACGAGCCTCAAAGGGCCTGGAAGAGGAAAGAAAAATAGTCTTTGATACTAAACACAGGATGAGGCCCAACTGTCAGATGGAGAAATTAGAACATACAAGAAGAGAGGTTCTAACATTGTTTTAAAAGTAATAGTTTAAGAGCTAATAGCTCTTTAGAGTTAATAGGCTGTTAATAGTTATACAATTTATTTAATGACGGAAGATCTCAGAAGGCTAGTTTGAACTTTTAAAAATCCCCACAGTCAGAGGTCTGAGTCACACGCTGGCCCGGTAGGTCATGTGATCATCACTGCCAGGTCTGAGTGACAGCCTATGGGCATAAGGGGTTAACAGGCACCCCGCCCCACCGAGGACCTCATTGGCCAGGTACGGGCCGCTCCTCCAGTACAGAGAGAAAACAGTCCAACCCTTTTTCACTGATGAGCAGATGGGGCAAAATGGGGCACCCCCCCCTCCATCCTGTTTGCTAACCACAGCAGAAGAACAAAAGGACTACTGTCATATTTCCCCACTGGCAGCCCTTTGGAGAAGTCAACAGAGAAATGGGGGGGTGCGTAGCCGGGGCAGGAACCCGACAGCGTCTGACTGGAGCCTATTCATCTTCGCGGGCTCCTGAGAGCCAAAGCACGCATCCCTGGGTGGGGGTCTTCACCTACCACAGGGACACGGTGGGGGTAGGGGGCAACTGTCACTGAGAAGCATGGACGCCCCCCCCAGGTGAGGCTTAGGAAAGGGCGGCTGTTGTTTCGACAACAAGGATTAATAACCCCATCCCTCACTGGTGGCAGGTTGGGGGGGGTGGTTTAAAACAATCACCATGTTTGTCAAGACCTACATGCAAATCCAATTTATCAAAAAAAAATGTGAAAAATAAAAAATACTGAAATAGAAGCTACAGAGGATATTTTGATAATTATACATACACACAATACTTGCGGGGCCGGTTTAAAATGCCTCTGTCCCTTTAAAAGACGTCATACCACCATCTTGGAGCGGAGAGAGAACTCTCCGGAGAAATGCAGCTTGTGTGGTCGCAAGGACACTGCTCCCCCCCCCCCCCAGTGGCCCCCCCACACACACACACATGCACACCTACGCCCGCAGCCATAGGCCCCCCCCCCCCCAGTGGGTTTATGACACCTTAAAGACGTGGAGATGGTGGAAGGAGCGGCCGCTCACACATTCAGGCGGGAGAAGTTGCCTCCCTGGTAGAGGTAGCAGGACGGGAAGTCTGTGACGGCCATCTTGGAAACCAGCTCATCCTCTGTGTTCAGGACTCTCCGCACAGTTATGTTGTCAAACTGGAGCAAATCAAGGATTACCTGCAAGAAATAAACAATATATATAAAATAAACTATAAAATGGGGGGGGGGGGCATGAAATGCCATCACTAAAATAACCATGCTGTTAAGATCCACCCATGTCTGTATGATTTGTTTTCTGCTGGACTGTCAGCAGGGAGCCAAAGTCTGAGGTCGATGCCCCCAGGCCCTCACCTCCCTGCCCACGTACGAGCTGGCTGTCTCAAACACCAGCGCCAGGAGCTCCACGCCGCTGGACTCCAAGAGGCTGTCGATCTCGGCTTTGCTGCGGAGCGGGACACGGAAGGCCAGAAGCAGGTGAATCACAAGGCCCTGCTGAGGCAGATGCTGGGTTCTGGACCCGCCTGAGATGGCACAGAACCAGTAGGACAAGCGCAACCCTGCCCCGAAAGTACAGAACACGTCCCTGAAACTAAAGCCTAAAAGAAAATAATGAAGGAGAAAGGAGCAGCGCATGTGAGGTACGTCACTGGGTCCGTGTTGGTTTAGAGGCCAGCGGTGCCTCAGGCAACCGGATCATTTTACAGAAAAGCTCCAAATGCACAGACTCAGTCCAAACATCTTCAGCCAACATGCCTGTGTCTATCGAGCCCGATCCCTCACACTCCACACAAAAGGAGAAAAACTGTGTTTACTGATATTTTAAAACATCCTTTTATCAGTTATGCACCAAAGAGTGAATTACGTAAGACCTGCCGCATGACAACCTAGACAATCGATGTGAAAATAAAACTTAGCAGCAGCCCTAAATCAAATATTTGCTCATCACCACTGATGATGTTGGTTTGGTGGCAGCCTGGCAACAAACCTGGATGGGGTTGGGACCACAGCTGAGCCAGGAGAGGCAGAGTGATTTAAGCAGGAGCTGAATGACTCACCTGGCAGCCTCGAGGGGGGGGCACGCCGGGGGCCAGTGCTCTTTGTGTTTCTCGATCATGCTGATCATCTGCCGCCGAAGGTGGCTCACATCCTGCGTGTGCACTGTAGGTGGGGAGAAGACGGAGAGAGACACCGTCTGCTTACAGGCAAGGACAGACCGCCGTCTGTTTCCAGGCAAGGACAGACCACCACAAACCTACATTAGTTTGCTCCCATTTGGTTACACACAAGTTAGTCTCTTAAACTAAATGCATCCATCCATCTTTTCTACTCCTTATCTTGGTCGGGGCCTAGAGCATGGGGGGGGGGGGGGGGGGTCACCCTGCATGAGATGCCAGCCCATCATGTGTATGTGGCCACATTATACGTCACACTGCGCAAAACTTAGAGACCCCTATTAGCCTAAATGCGAGTCTTTGGACTGCGGTAGGGGTGACCATGCAAACTTCACACACACACACAGAGGGGGGATTAAAACCTACAACCCTGTGGGTCAGAGGCAGCAGTGAGGCCCCCCAGTGAGCCACCATGCCGCCCTTTATGGGACGTGAAGCTAAAAGGTCATGTTAATATACTGTCTGCCCACATGCAGGTTAGTTTGATCGCTGCCTCCATGATAAGCTGCACGATAACCCGCCCCCCCCCACGTGGAGGAAAGGGCGGCGCACAAAGGGCGGTGGGGAGAGGCAGTGGTGACCTCGGCTTCCCTCAAACATGGGGGGCCCAGGCTGGCAAAGCGCGCAGTACAGAGCCGCGGGGGAGGGGAGCCGTCGCTTACCTGGGAACGAAGCACCGGTGGAGTCCTTCTCAGAATAAGCGTGGAAGAACTGTGAGGGAGGAGGAGAGCGTCAAACGGCTGAAGGGGAATATGATGCCAAAGACGAAAAACAGAGTGAAACACACAATAACCAAACAACAGGTAAGTTCTCTTACATAAGGGAAAGACAGGGGCACCTTGTCATTTAAGCTGAATATTGGTCTCTGGTATATATACCACCAAACAGTGCTGCTTCCCTGATCATGCACTTAAGCAGGGGGTTAAGAATAGCAGAAATACTATAGGTATTTAACAGAGTACTGCACTATGGTAAAAGCCAATATTTTTCTATTTGTATTAAATGCTGAATTTGTCCAGAATTTCATTAAACACTCATGCATTATAACACTTCATGACATTATTATTGTTATTGATGATGATAATGATAAACAACAACAATAATAATAATGATGATGATTTTAAAAATTAAAGTCAGACATTTCACAAAAATAAAAGCCTTCCGTTCCCAAACAGTGAAGTTTAATGGTGCCGAATCACATTTTTAAACTGTATCCAATATAGTCCTTAACCTTTTCAGCTGTTATCGGAAAACACACTGATTAGGCCAAGCACCAAGTCAAATGTTCAAGATAAACAAGTTAGGAAAGAGGACCAGACAGACAAACAATCTTAAAAGTAGAATGAGGGTTAGAGTAGCGACACTGGCATCCTGGGGTGCCGGCGCAGCTCACCTTCACGGTGGGGTACCCCCTGATGCCAAAGTGAACGCAGGTCTTTCGGTTTTCTTCAGCTGCGCAGTCAATGGCCACCAGATCCACAGCAGGCTTCCATTCTGTCATAGCAGACGGAGAAACCGCATGTTACACGCCAAGCACCAATGCACACACACGCACACACGCACGCACATGAACCTGCACTCATATCTTTGTGGCGACCGTCCATTCATTTCTATGGGCAAAACTCTAATCCCAACAATGACAACCTTAACCCCAACCCAGCCCTAAACTTAACCATAAGTAACCACTGCAAAGTTCAGCTCCGCAGCCAGGAGTAAATCTCATGGGGTCTCCAACAACCCCACCGCTGGGGGGTCCTCCTGCTACATTTCGGCATTTCACTCCAAAGTGGTTATTTTAGTACCTGGGTAGCTGCCTGCTGAGCTCATGCAAACAGGCAGCCCTGATGCCATACCTGCAGTTAAACACTTCTGTCTGGACAGATCCTTCCAAAATCATAAAAATCATTAAAATTAATGAAAACACTTGTAATCCTGAAAAACAAAATGTGCTAAAACTATATTAGAACAAGTTCTAAACTGTACATTTAACCCCATAAATCCAATGTGTTTGTTTAGTTAACGTTTAATTTATAGCACTTGCATATGAAGTCCACCTCCTGCCACAGTTAACTGTCTTAAGCGCTACTTTTAAAACACCAAGTAGGACTATGACAAGTATGAAATTTCTCTGCTCCTTTTGCCAGAAATGTTCTCCCGGCCTACATATTGACTAAATTTACCCAGCAATACTTCTTGCTAATTTAATTCCTACTGACCTAATAATCTGCCTTAAGAGGGTGTAAAACTGTCTATTTAAATCCGCGGGCAGACGATAAAGGCCACGAAAGAAAGTATCCCCGCTTATTTGGGGCGATGTGCCGGAACACTCTGTCCTGCGGGTCCGATGAAAGAAATTGCACATCAGTGATCGGGCCATCCAACATCCCACGGAGGAGACCTAATAGCCATGCAGACAGTCTTATGAGGGAACCCGGCTCCTTGCTGACAACTTATAGCGTTTACGTTCAAACCTGTGATGTATAAAACTCTGGAGTCATTTGCCCTAAAATCATATGGACGGAGAGAAAGGGATCACCTCTCAACTGTCATTTTTGGCTTACTTAAAGCGAAAGATCCCCTATACCCCCGTAAGGTGCGCTACGGTGCAGACCTGCCCATAAACATGCTGCACCTGCACGTACGACCGGCTGCGTCTGAATAATAATTAGTCAGGGTGCCAGACCGATCATGTCCCAGCTGTTTCAGTGCTCCTTTCTCTTTACCCTGAATACTCAAGACTTTTTAACAGCCTGTTTCTGGGAGTCTTGAGCTCTTTTGAAGATAAAATATAGGCTATACATGTATATGAATAAAAATATAAATATAAATATATATACACGCAGCGCTTTGTAAGCGATTGTTATACATGATGTTATTGTATAGGGAAACTACTATGCAAAGTCACACGAATAACTCGTTTCCGGGATATTCAGCATCTGTACCCTTTCGCATGAACTCCCTGCACGAACTTAAGCGATTTACAAACCTTTGGTATCCATGGCTAGGTTCTTCCATACCGGGGAAAACGCCACGCAATGCCCGCACCAGGACGCGTAAAACTCCACAACCAGAGCAGCGGAAGAGTTGAAGAGCACCGACTCCACATTGTCGGGGTTTAATAGCACGATCTGATCAGACTGAGAATAAAGTCCAGTTTCGGCCGAAGGCAGAAGACCCGAAAAGAGGACCAAAGTGCAGAACAAGCAATGTTTCAAGGCGCCCCTCGCAGTTAACGGAGACGTGGCACAGCGCCGATACTGCGCCATCTTCCTATCGCACCGCTGGCCGACGGCTACTGTATGCGAAAGTGACAGAAACTTTTCTTCTTCTAACTCTCTCACTCCCCTCTTGCTCAGAATTCGACGCAGAGAGGAGGAGGGGCTATATTTTATTTACCGTACTCTCCAAGTCCTGGTGTTCCCGGCAATTGTTCGGCTTATTGTGTTTTAAACAAATAGATGACAGTCAACTTTATAATTTTTATTTACTGCAAATAATATTATTATTCTTTTGTGAATAAAAATGCCGCAGGACTGTCAAAGTCACTTCTGTCCTCTCTACAAATTTCTCATATCCTTTTACTAAACCAGAAAACAATATTAATTAATAAACCATTGGACTAACAATATTAATGTGGTGATTACCAAGGACATGCAGAGGGGACGAGGGGCTGGGGGTGCTTCAGTCCTGAGTTCCCCTTTTCGATCACCGACGATCAAGCAATATGTAAAAAGGGGCTCCCCCCAGTCCCCTCCCCCTAGCCGGGAAATTATTTACCGAGTGCCCCTTTTCATCACCGAAGATTGCGCAATTTTTAACGAGGAGGGAGGTAGGAGGGACGCTCCTGTCAAGCAGCTGCCCCTGTGCATTAGATTTACAGGATTAGGTAATTTAATATATACAAAGAAATCACAGCTTAGGTGAGAAAGAGAAAGGCGCGAACCCAGTGTTTGCAGCACTCAAATCACGCTTTTGCATGACGCCCCAACCGGCCACAGTCACTACCCCAAAGATACATAAACCAGGTCCTTACCCTACAGACAAGGTAATAAAGCGGTTACATACATATACATGCATGTGCAGACTTGTCTCGGATTGATCATCTCACGCTAGCCAGCTGACCAAAGCTAACAACCCTATAGTAATTTACTGTTTGAAACATTATATAGTGCGTTATGATAAGGTGTGACTTCTGTCGGTGGCTTTGGACGAAAGCAAAGCAACATTCAATAACACTACGTTTTCCCTGTTATGTGCATTTTGTGTATTCTGCACATAAAGGCTGCACCAGTTTCAACAGGTGACTGAAAGACAAACAGTGACACTGTTCATGAGAACGCGTGAAGGAAGAGGAAATAAGATCCAGCAAAATACCACCCGTTACCGGGAAATGGAAAAGACGCCAAACACTGCGACATGCTAGCGTATGAGTCGCCGCTATGTAAAACATTTCACATGGCTTTTTATTTTTGTTAACAGTCCGTGGCGTTATTTCATCCATCCATCCTCTTGTTCTAACCACTTACCCTGGACAACGTTGGGTGGGGGGCACAGAGGCTGGGGTACAGATTCCTGTATGGGACACCCATCCATCACGGGGTACACACGCACACTGACACTATGGAGAATTTATAGACGTCTACTTGCTTGGTCTGTGTTTTTCTTGAGGACGTGGAGGCAATTCTCAGGAAACTGAGAGATCTAGCAAAGTCATCACACAGAGCAGTGATGGGATTTGAGCCAATCCACACAGCAAACACGTAAAGGGGTGGAAGTATTTAAGATCGTTTAAGTTTACCAAAATGAATTTGGAAATAAGAGGGTCGACATACGAATAAATGCATATGTATCAGAGGCTGTAGCAGGAGCATTTCTAGCTATTGAAAAGTTCAGGGGGTAAGTCAAGTTTACCTGGGGCTTGACTTTTTGTTTTTGAAGGAAGATTGGCATCAGGGCCAAAATACTCGGGGCCTAATGATGCTCAGGGGCAGTAGGAAAGCGAGCTAATTAGGATTTCATAACATCCGAATCAGGACACGAGCTGCAATGAGTGTAAAATGCAGTATATAAACCGCTCACCCCAAACAAAATAATCAAATACTGCATTTTAAACAATTAGCACAAAATGGATATTCATATAAAAGTACCCGTAAGACAAAAACAATCAAGTTTAATAACAATCGTCACATTCTTCTGGTCATTAGGCACAGGGCTTGTTTTTACACCTGAAGCAGTCTGTCATTTATAGGACGAGAAATCGAGATTTAGACATATGAACCCCTTTATTTACAATTTCAAAGCTGAATTTATTCAAATAGATATGTATACTATATACATATTTGCATTCACAAAGAAAACCTGATTTTACAACTTTACAACCTTATTGGTGAGCTTAACCGAACTAGAGAGAATGGTATATTATACACACCTCCAAGTCTCACTCACAGTACATTGTCCTTATAAATAGTTACACGTTTCTGAATTACAACACGCCTTTAAACTACGCATCAGAGAAATCGACCATTTGTGTTCAAATGGGGGGGGAGGGGGTGTCAAACATTTCAGGTCCAGTCGGGAAACATTTCCACAAGGCTCGGGTGCACCTGCTACAATTAGATTAAGGTTATATTACGTACCTAGCAGGTATTCAGAAGGTGCCTTCATCATCATTTATTTATTTAACACTGAGCTTACTCCTCTGAGGTCATATGCAAAGTCTACCATAAATATCTAAACCCGGTGGCTCTAATTTGCCTACAGATACAGAAATGCTGCATAGCTAGGCAGAGCGACACTGCAGAGTGCAGCAGCCTATGGCCGGCAGAGTCCCGTCAGTAACCGTTAATATCACAGTGGTGTGCGTGAGAGCGTCACAGCTCTCGGTAGGTACAGGTATCCAGAATGAGGCTGAACAGATGAGAAAGCCAAACCCCAGATCTCCATCCGCCTTTCCCAAGACCTTTACATGTCATACAAATTATTTACTTGACAATATCCAGGTGACCATGAGCAAAAAAAGGCAAAAGAGACATAAAATTGTGCAAAATTTCCTGCAATCTAAGGACACTTATGTTCAATGACCTGTGAAGTTGACTGATGAACAGGGTAATTCTTTGCCCCCTTGGAAGTATTAACGTGTAGCTAGGACATGGAGCACACTGTTAGAGAGGCAGGGGAGGTGATGAGAGGACAAGCCCTCGTACTGAACCAAAGTGACTCACTCGTCAGGAAGCCGCCATGCCCTTTGTGTACATGACGGAGCAGAGAGCTCTCATTAACACAACGTTAGAAGTATTGCTAAAATTCTTTCACGGAAATCTGAAAAGATTTACTTTGAAAAGGCAACAGGCTTGAGAGTGTTTTTAAGGTTGGTAGCATTCACCAATAATACAGAGTAAAAGAGTACTGCAGTAGGCTTTCAGAGGGAACTCGGTGGTGGCAAATATCACTCTGACTTGTCATAGGCAAAGTGTTATTTGCAGTCAGCTGAGTATAGCAAAAGAGCCCAACCCATTTGTAAATGGAAATAATACCAGGACAAATAAAGTTACGTGTAAATTAACCTGTTTTAGGTGTGTGTATACGTGTCAATATTAGAGCAATCATTGAAGTGCTGACAGGATACGCTTAGAATAAAAGTAAAGCAGACTCCTCCCAATGAGGCACTTGAACACAACTAAAATGCAAACAGATGTTCAGCATGACCAGGAACAGCTAAAAGCACCAGGCTGTTTGAGCGTCTCCAACCACTCAGCATAAAAACAAACGTTCAGTCCGCTTTGTTGATCTCACCGCTGACTGACGTGACTCTCTTCTAAGCCAGCACTCCTTCCCAGATTTTTAGGAAAATCTATTACATAATTTTGAACTTTGGAGGACGTGGGGTTTTCTTCGTTATTAGAATTCCACCGATCATCGTGTAAGTCACTTGCATATTTAAAAAGTTTGAGCAATCGAAGTGAATTTAAAAGAGAGTCCAGTGGACACAGGTAGTGTCTTACCCAATGGAAAACATGCATCTCCTGTACAATATAATACAATTTCAAGGCTTTCCCCCTATTCCCAAAAGAACAGTGCTCCATTTGAGATCTTTTCACCATTCATTGAGTAAAATGGCTGGCTACGCTGGATACCTCTCTCTTTAATCTTAAGTCCTACTGGAGGTCAGCCAGGAGAGTATCTCCCTGATAAAATTACGAGACTATTTAGCAGCGTTGATCAAAGAGGTCAACTACACAGGTCATTCAAACTGAGCCCCACTGCAGAAACAAGAGTACAGCATCATGATATATTGGAGGTCAGATGAGCAGGTCATGTAGACCAAAAATGCACTTTAAAACTGACCAAGAAGCTGAATTCAATTTGTTGATGATTTCCAGTGGAAAAAAGGCATGTACTGCTTTAAAAAAAATTTGGACAAGGTCTTCAAGTTGTCTGGCCGAAGGCAACAGGAGATTAATGGCACGTAAGGTGCAGAAGTTTGAAGGAGTGCCTGACATGTTTAAAAGAGGATTACGTTTAAGAAAGGGATGTTTTTGCTTGCTTTTCCTGAATTTGGATGAAGATGTCGACAGTGTCCTTCAGTAAGGTGTCGAAGATGCCATCAGCCAACTGCATCTTGACAAAAAGCTCATCCTTGTCATAGTTGACCCACAGAGACTCCTCTTCATGTAGCTCCTGGACCTGAAAATAACAGAGGTTTGGTACTTTAGAACAAATTGTTCTGCTTAAGAAAATATATTCTTTACATGTCTTGCTCATGAGGAACTGAAGGTATAGCCATGACATTGTCTGAAGTGGCCTATAAGCGTTAATCTCAAAACAATAGCTAATTACCAGAATATGATCCACTCTGTCACGCTTCTTCCGCCCAAATTTCAGCATTTTTTGCCAGTCTGTTTTCTGGTTCTGGTCTTTCATTAAACCCAACAGTTTTAATACTTCAGCGGTGACAAAGGCCTGCATGAAGGGGGACAATGTAGTTTAACATGACAAACAAGTGAACGGACAGATGGCCACAACAGGGCAAAATAGGCAGATCAAGTGACACACACCTGGACTTCTGCCATGTCGGCAGGACATTTCACCCGGCGGAAGTACAAGGAATTCAGACGTCTTGGTTTTGCCCATTGAGGTGGATGGACATCTATATTCTCTGAGAAGATCTCCTGGATGATCTCCCACGTCAGGTCAAACACAGTCTAAAGAAAGAAAATTAGTTTTTTTTTTTTTTTTATTGGGATACTTGTCTACCAATTCATTTACATCCCACATATATCTGGCCTCAAGCACAAGGTGTTTGCCTAGAGGCTCTTGTAGTGTGGGGTAAATTACTTTATTTTTCATCTTAGGCAGTGGGACTGA